CCGAAGAAATGACAGGAAACAAGGAAAGGAAGTAGTGAGAAGTGTGGACTCGAGAGTGCGTTAGTATTTTATTGAATAATGCTTCAGAGAATTTCATTTCGTATTCTATTCCATGCAAAAATACTTTGCTTGAAGGAAATCACATTGATTAGTTGAAATCGAATCAGTCAGTGTCTTTGCAGGCAACAGACGTTCCGTCAGATTCACTTCACGGGATCGGACTGTGTAACGCGGACGATGTGTTTTTGACTAATTGGCAAAGTAATTTTTTAAATTGATCTGTTATATTGGTGTTTGCTTTAAGCTCTGGTTATAAACTGTCGTAAAAAACGTCGGTTATCTATAGGCTGCGATCGAATTTTGTATCGAATGTTAGCGATCATAATAGTGCGAAATATTTCTGGTGAAATCTTTGACAGATCTTGGAAATACGTAATTTTTTAAGGTTCAGCTAGAAATTTAAAATATTTTGAGTGCTATCAGCTATTTGATATGATTGTTGTTCGGTTGAATATTGCATGAAATGAGCAGTAATTCTTCATCAGACCAACCAGAGATGTCAGAATTTTTCCATATTTCTCGCTTTTGTGCAATTTCAGTTGATTTAATCAATAGTCAAGCGGTGTTACGTGGTAAAGAGTTGGATGGCTTTGTGCTGCTGACTGCGGCACGAGCCTCTGTGACGCAGCGATTCCATTTACCGGTTTGGAAGAAATCACAGCTGTTGGATAAGCGATCATGGTGCGCAATCTTGACTGGAATGCAGGTTCCTGGCTGTTTTGAGTTTATGTTGATGTCTTATCGAGATTTTGCACGATGAATTTATTCAAGTTTTGGGTCAACTTGAGCTTTTTGAGTCTATCGACCAATCGAGAGAATAAGGATTGTTTCCTGATAAGCTTTCTTGATGATCTATAGAGTTTGGGACATGTTTTGGTTTTTAGTGTGTTTTATTCTCTGTTGAAAATATTTTACTTTACAAAGTTTTCATGGAATGACATGAGAGATCCTAGCAAATTTGGGAGAATTTTAAGGAAATGAAGAATTTTCGGTTTTTTTGTACATCCCTCCGCACGTTCTAATCAATTTTCAGTATTTCGCACCACTGGTGATGTCTCACAATCATCAACCCCAACAACAGCAATCCGCGAATGGCTCACCCCAATCCACGTCAGCGTTCTCCTCGTCCGCAACACTCCATAAAGAGTCACACCACCAACAGCAACAATTTCGGTGGTTATCGAGAGATGTAATCGAAGAAAAAGCGTGCTCAGATCCGAAT